TTAAATGGGTTTATTGTGGTTGCACAGATCGTAACAACTGTTGTGTTCGAACTGAAACTGACGACTGACTTTAGAAGTGAATTTGTGTGGCACATTGAAGAAGTCTTAGGTTAATTTTGAGTCATTTAGTTCAAAGTGGTTCTAGACTTAGGGTTATGCGTCTGGAGTTGTAGTGCTGTTTGCAATCGCATCCTAGTAACCTAGCCGTAAAATAACTTTGGACATCCTCTATTTTTAGTTTGTCTTTAATGCGGATACCACTCAATATAAATGGACAATATCCTAATACTGGACGTGCGCAAGTTTTGTAGAGCAGTAACTTGACTTCTTTGAGGTGAAAGTTACGGACTATGCAATCTATTAAGACCCTAGATTTGCGAGTCTGTGATGCTACCTGTCCAGAAAATGTGAAGTCCCTTGAATATCTCAGACCAAGGTCACAAACACTTTTGAGAACAGGTAGCTTCGTCGAATGAAGATTTGGTTGGATGTCTACCGATAGAGCACCAAAACATATTCAGCCACATTTGCTTGTATTCAACTGAAGCTTCCGCGCATAGTGGTTATGAAGTTAAGAAAATCAAGATGGCAAGTTATACAGGACCTCGATTTTAGGAACCCATGTTGACTCGATGTAATGAAGTTGCTACCAAGCTCGTGCTTAACAACGATTTCCTGAATAACTTTCTGCATGATCCTATAAGCCACAGACGTAATACTGATTGATCTGTAGTTACTGGCTAGTTTTTGAACCAGATGTATATCTAGGTAGGATAAATGATTTTTTCCAGATATCAGGGTACGTGGAAGATTCTAAAGACAGAAAAATATTTGAAGTGACAATAATGGAATGTCAGGGCCACCATATTTAAGGGAATGTGATGATACTCCGTCTGTGCCAGCGCTACTGGAGCATTTTAGCGTCCTAATGGCTTGGTTAATGTTAGAATGTGTTAGTTCAACCGTATCTATTGTCGTTAGTGGAGAAGAATAGCTTTTAATAGTGCAGACCGTATTAGTAATGCACGAAAAACTTGTAGGTTACAGAAAACTGGCTGCAAATAAGTCGCTGAATATTTCACACATATTTACTGGATTATTGTAAGCCTAGGTGTCGTGAATAAGAAGAGGAATGTTATGTCTTGTGCAGTTCGATCGCTTCCTAAGGAGTGTTGAGAGAGCATATACTCTAGGATGAGTTAGCTAGAGCACTACTCTCTTCATTCTTCATACGCAAATCGTGGTTATGCGAGATAGAGTTAAGAATACCAAGAATCACCAAAATGCATCGAAGTCAAGATGTCTACAAGGCGTTACGCACCAGTAGACATTGTTTGTCTTTCTCGCTCTCGATGTTTTCAAAAGAATGCACAGCTTCAACTGATAAATGTAAGGAGCGTAAATGACCTCGTATACAGTCAGTCAACGGTTGCAGTATGTTGGCACAGTGACTAGTCCTAGAAAGCGATGTAGCCTTTTTATAGAATCTGGTGACAAATATTCTTTAGTAGCTTGAATGTTGTCCGGTACAGGCTGTATGCCTCGACTATCCAGTACGTGTCCTAAAAACCGTATGGACTGTTTTCATCCCTCAATGAAACTGAAGTTACTACATGAGCCCCTCCCTCAGACATATCATTCAATTGTTAGGCATTGTACATTTTTGAGATGTTTGTCTGCATCAGGAATGTCTGAGAACATTCCACACACTTTCTTCAAGCCTCGTACACTTCGCGCTTCTTTTGCTTTACTGATCAAAGTGCGCCTGAAATATATTGTTCGTAAATATTCTTGTTTTGGTCTTTTCAGTGCGCGTCGTTTAGTGAACTGCTAGCAATGGCTACTGGACCTGTAGTATAAACGAATTGAACACATTCTCTCACACCACGGGTCTATTAAAACCGATAAGACATGACGCCTTAAAATGTCACCTGTACACATTCACTAGGGTGATATGATGCACGTATCATTATCCACCGAAACATGAGAACTCATGATGATGCAGACTTTCAGATGGGTGCCAATAATCACAGCAACCAGATCTGCAAACTGTCCTAGACTGCATCCTATAAACTAGCATGAATGTGTCAGGCAGGGATGTCACGCCAACAATCTCGATATTGTCACAACAGACGAAACGACAAAGTAACACTTAGCGCTCGAGAATCAACAGCTTGAGACTGAAGAATGTTACAGTAAATACGCTAACCTATTCAATTAGCATAGTATCCTCAATATCTTTGCATTCACATATCAATGTCAATTGATGACTGGTAGAGATTGTCCGCTGCCTAATCTTCTTTGCACAAAAAATGGGAAATTAGTTCAAAAGCGTGGAATCATGTTGCTCACTTTATTGAATACTCTTTCATCTGTACAATGGTGTTAGCATGAAGCAGAGAGATAGGTGGCTTTTCCATGAGCCAGTTATGTTTCGATTTGTGATGGGAATCATGGTCAACAGATGTTAAACATAAAACATCGTAAGAATACAAAAAGGAATGATTCTCTTCAGATCAAACACTATTTACCGACAATCAGACATCTGAAAACTAACGGCATGCAATAATTTAAGTTTCATAATAGCAGTCGAGAGTTAAAGAAGTCGTCTTGTTGTTCACTACTTTATTTTTATGCCACTCTGCATTTATGAATCTCAAGCTAGACCGTTCTTGATAGGAAGTGGCTTAAATCGAAATAAGTATTCCAGACCATCAGCCGCTAAGGTAGACGATATGAGTTTCAACTTCGCTCCATGTTACTATGTGGACGGGGAAAACCTTCCTGGATAACTTTGTCCTACAGATAACCAGTGAAAATAAGCATCCAACTTTTGACCTGGTGACTTTATTTTATTTTTCGTCAAATAAAGTTGTGTTCATTACAGTCACAGGTCACTCTTTGTCTCTGTTATTTTCGCGGCTCAGTGAAGTAAACGGTTTTGAGGGAGAACAATCGCTATTCATAGCCACTCCACGTATCTCATTGCGTTAGTAGCGTTCTCGCATTGTTCATGCAATCACTTCGCTTCTAAACAAACTAAAGAATAGTTATAAAGTGAATTTTCAAACTGTTTTCGGCCAAACTGATGTACTTATGAGACGATAGAAACCTTATATATCCATTGGATTTCAGGATGCACGATCGAAGCTGCAAAGTAGCGTATTGTTCATAAAAAAGACCATCAGTTTAAGAAACATGGATATATCAGAATGGTGACGTGCTTCTCACCAAAGGAATGAGATAATGATAGATAACGCTACTTAATAATCTGAATGTGAAATGTCAGTATGCGAAAATGAGATCCCAGACTGACAGAAAAGTAGATTACATGCATTAAACAGCTGTGAAATAAGTGTAGTCCTTCTCTCAAAATGTGTGATAAAATTTAATACAGATTACACTGTCTATCTTTTAGACACACCATATTTTCATAGTGCTTTTACATTTTTCGAAGTGAAATCGGGAATGATACGATGAGACCAACTTCGTAGGTGGTGTCGACCGTGTACGTCAGTGTATCCACGAACGATACGAAATACACTCAGTAAACTTGTACATATTTGTGAAGTAGACAATACGTCACACTTATTGCATGAAGGCCAGTGATATTACCTGGCTGCCCAAACCTCGGTAGGCCGAGCCATTTTCCAACTGGTAACCCATTGGTTGAAAGTCAACTTCATAGAACAAAGCCACAGCTCGATGTAAATAGAGACTGCCCTACTATATTCCAAGTGATGGGTATGAACATTTATTCATCAAACGAAACTGCATTCTACCTCGTTTAATTATAATTAGTTACAGATTTGTAGTCTGGATATACGCGAACTATGACTTCAAATGGCTAGAAATATGCATTTGACCATTTCTACCTGGAAAGATCATACAACTAAAACGTATCAGTATGATGTGGTCCGCTACAGCATATCACTAGACAAAACAAACGCTATGAAGGTAAACTGTTTAGTTTTCTTTGGTAGCAACACTATTTGAATCATAGTTGTTGAAAGGCTCCAGATTTGTGTAAAAATTATTAATCTCAACATTTTCAAATCTTCGTACCATCTTTATAGCATGGCCAGCAGTCTATCCCTCCCATTTTCAAGGTAATTCACTGACCGGTTAATGCTTGCTGCTTTTAGTATGTGTGTTTCAAGTTCTGGACAAGGTCATATGTCATGGATATGTACGCATGTGTTTTGGGTTAATTCAATACTCTTCTACAGGGATAATAGACACGCCTATACAGTTCAGTCTTCTCTATTTCGTCCGAAGTTGAAGTCCGCGCATCTGTCGTGCGTGGTTATCCTCTCAAGAACATTACAACGATACTTACGAATGACAGTGTTATTGCAAACTGACTCAGGCACAGGATAAAAAAAAGAAAATCAACTGAAATTCATTCCATTATTCAGTAATAATAATAATGATATATCACCAGTAAATATAATGAAAACGGCACCAACATATCAAACACAGTCGGTAAGTAGGAACTAAGACAGGAAATAATGATTTCAATGAAAGTAAAAACCAAAGGAATAAAAAGTAATAGCATTGTTTTACGCAGAAAATAAAACTTCAGCGTGAACATTGCAAATAGTACTACTACTACTACTACTTGTGAGTAGTTTAAATCTTTCAAATAAATAAATCACGAAATCAGAACTGTGTCAAGGGAAAAAAGGGTATAATATCCCCTATTTCTTATATCACATGCGTAAAAATGAGATAAAATTACAAAACCTTGAGTGAGATCAAAAAAGGGAAGAATATTGGTGAAAATATGTGATTAGACGACTGACGCTTTGGAAAGCAGTTATAAACTGACGGAGTAAATATATAATGAGATCAGTAAGCAAACAAGTCAATGAATGGATAAGTGACCCAAGATAATAATAAGGTTGAAGGTAATTGCTAAAATGAATTTGTCTGTTGAGAGTAGACAGATAACTGTGATGCGGTTATAATTTGCTCGGTAATGAATGTTTTAAAAAAAATTATCGTCGACCACTTCGTGTAGGCAAAACAACAGGAGGTGGTGAGAAGGTTTGAATAATCGATTCGCCACCACAGCCGCCTTGTGTTGTCTGTTTGTAATTTGATAACTGACTAGGCTGAGATGAAATGCTTGAATTTATAGTAGAACCGGGAATAGTATTACTGACGGACGATGTATTAGTAATAATACTAGTCGAAGGTTGATTGCGATAAACAGTAGAGTCGCGTGATAGACACGTTTGTGATTTATTCTTTGATTCAGAGCGTTTCAAGGATGATTTTGATACAAGTAAAGAATGAGGTAAACTTTGTCGAGGTAATTTTGTATCAGCCATGGCGGCAGCAGCGGTGGTGGTAGTTACAGGTGAATTCAATTCATGCTGAAGAAAATGTACACAAGAAGATGAAGATGTAGACGTAGAAGATCCCAATTTCTTTGGATGTAGAAAATGCTGTAGTAAGGTTTTTGTCTCGATTGGAGATAGAATAGACTGACCTACGCGAGAATTAATTTTTACAGAATCCACTGTTTGTTCGTTCAATGAAAACAAGTATATGTGAAAAAAAACAGGATAAAAAGAGAAACGTGACTTGGAAATTTTCCATCACTAACACAGATTGTATGAGATGCTTCCATAAGATAATTTAGTGTTGAGTCAAAATAGAACTAGACAGACCTGGTAATCAATAAAAGCCTATTTTCAGAATAAGAACAATTTGAGCTAACAACCGTTTTCTATGAAATACAATGGCCAAAATAAGGCATAATGTAAAATTATTTCAATATAGAAACAGTCAATACCGTGGGTAAATGAAAACTAGATCAAATGGATGAAAGTCTTCATAAGATGGAGCTAGTTACACAGATGGTACTCAAAGGGCTCTATCCATGCGCACTTGTAAACAGGTACAGGCTTGGTTAGGTAAAGGAATTAAAAAGTGCATCAAGAATGCAGCCTCTTCGCACTTAGTAACTAGTCTTGAGATACAACAGCAGGTGTCTGTGCATGATGGAGATCATCACTTAATAAGTGTAGTCATCTGGAAACACCAGCTTCGGTGACCGGAACATGTATTACGCTCGTCCCCCCCCCCCAACGGCTTCCTTACCACTCACTATTTGCTAGTTCTCGGACTGGATGGAAGAAGCGAAGGGGTGGTCAGTGTATGACAAGGGGCTGTGGGATCAGGGACGGTAGTATTCGGTTAGTATCTACCAGTGCGTGACGATTCCCTGTGTGGGGTCCGAGAGATTACGTCATGAGATATGGCTCAGAGTCGGAACCAGCGGTGGTTATGCTATAGCTTCCTTATATCTTCCGCCACTGAAACGTAATAAGTGTTTCGTTTTGAATATAGCCTACGTGACTGCACTCATAATCATCCTATTCTCATAGTACTTTTCTTTTTTCTTTGTCCACTTCGCTTAATTCTGTCTGCATAATATTGTTATATTATTTTGTGTGGCGAATTTTTTGGTGCCCTTGCTGTATCATGCTTGTGTTCTAAAAATAAATTCACATTTAGTAGATACTAGACATCAAACCAAAGTAGATCACATCTTTTCTGTGATATATTGTCGATTGCAGTCTCTTCAAAGGGGCGCGATTATGAATCTTGCCAATAGCCAGTCATTGGTATCAACACAAGGAAAGCTGATCTATGCGTTCAGAAGAAATGCGGGTATCCACTTTGTCTACCTTAGTCCACAACAAGGTGAACACATTCCTAATGATCTCGTCTGCATGGTGGCTCGCAGAGGAATTCAAGATGGCGTTTCGTCCTACTTAAGACACGTCAGGTGGATGTACCTGTACCCCAGTGAGTGGTATTTTTCACACCGGAACTCGAAGCCAGTACCCTTCGCTTCAAACGTCAGGGCGCTCTCCACTAGGCAAATAAGACATGAGAGCCAGCTATTATGCAACAGGTATCAGCTGTTGTTATGATGCTGGTCATTTCCCATTGCTATATAGGGTTGAATCGTTCATGTTTTTAACAAATTTTCCTACCAGGAATTTTTTTTTAACCTACCACTTCTTTCTTCTACTTTCTCTCTCTCTCTCTCTCTCAATTCATGCATAAAGATTCTTCTTCTTCTGTTATTAGTTTATGCCCTCGTTTATTCATACCATTAACAGCAGTCATTTTTAACCCTTACGCAACACTTCACATTTTTTATTCCTTATTGCACTCACATGATGTTTCACTACAAATGAATATAACTCATAGCTAACTAATGATTATTTGGCCCCTAGAAAACAAACAGACAGATATACACATTAATATCCCAGATAGATGTATATAAATGAAACGTTATCTGTAGATTTTATATCATTTCTTACTTATTTTGTCCATATTAATTTCACTGCACAACTAACACACTAGATTGACTACTATTCCACCAGATGACAAATAAAATCCAGTTCATTCGATCTTAATTTCCCCTTAATATTGACAATATTGATATTGAGATGATTATTACATTAATCTGCCCTTTGATAAGCGAACCTCGCTAAGGTAACTAGTTGACCAGTTACTAGCCGGTCGTAAGCCCGGATAAAGAGGGAAGGTTGGGCATAGGGCTAGCAACCCTACCTCGTAGAATCAATCCAATCGCTAAGGCAACTTCAAAGCACAAACGAAATATAAAAGACAAAAATAAACTTATTCCTCACTGGAATCGGGGAGACGAAATGACGCCAGTTGGTGAAAGCCTTCGGGAAGCCAATTGGCCGATATGTCTTCTCTTCTCTCGATGAAAGCGAAAGTAAGGATGGGAACATGGAATGTCCGAACAGTGTTTGAACCTAGCAAGGCTGCTCAGATTGCCAAAGAGATGAGGAGATATGGCATAGAAGTGCTAGGAATCTGCGAAAGCAGATGGAATGAAAGTGGACTCTCCCAACTGTCAACTGGACAGTCAATAATCTACTCCGATATTGTCACCGAGACGACAACCACGAGCACACTGAGTTTTGGAGTGGCTATCGTGATGTCCCCAAGAGCATCAAAGGCTCTCATGCAGTGGCAACCAATCTCCTCCTGCAGGATTATGACTGCAGGATTGAAATCAAAAAGAAAGAAAGTTACAATCATACAATGCTACGCTATGCATCTACAAATAATGCAGATCAAGAGAAGCAGGAGAAATCCTACAGACAACTGCAATCAGCACTGGACAAGACCTCAGTTGGCGACATCCAAATTCTAATGGGCGACATGAATGCCAAACTGGGAGTGGACAATACAGGAAGAGAACTAACCATGGGTCGAGAAGCACTCGGTGAAATGAACGAGAATGGAGAATTGTTTGCAGATTTCTGCGCATTCAACGATTTGGTAATTGGAGGCACTGTGTTCAAGCACAAGGATATCCACAAAGCGACATGGATTTCACGAGATGGACACACTAAAAATCAGATCGACTTCATCTCAATGTGAAGAAAGTGGAGACGCCGCCTACTGGACACAAGATCAAGGGAGGAGAGCAGATGTAGGTTCACACCATTCATTGTCTAGTGCAAGGAACCTTCAAAATCAAGTTGGAAGCCTTCAAGGAAGTTGGTGATAGACCACAGTTGAAGTTCAACACCCAGAACAGAAAGTGAACTGAAGGACAAAACTACAAAGGACATCTTCACGTCAGCCATCAGAACAAACAAAATGAGAGATATCGAGCAACATCCCTGAAGAAACCTATTTGGATGAACACTGGGACTCTTTGAAAGCTATGTGGAGAGAAATCTGCATAACCGTGTTAGGAAGGAAGAAGAAAGAAGATAAGGAATGGATCTCGACGGACACATGGAAGCTGATAGAGCAGGGAGAGGAGGATGATGAAGCAGAAGATAAACCAGTTCAATGATGAACGATGAGAAGAGGAACTGAGTACAACGTACAAAACACCACATTGGATAAAGAAGTGAAGAAGAGTGTGCAGAAAGACAAATGACACTTCTACGACACATTGGCAAGTGAAGTAGAACAGGCTGTTGGTAGGAGAGACCTGACAACACTATATCAATTGACCAGGTTACTCTCGATCTGGGAAGAGATTACCGCAGATGAAACCAATAAAAGATGATGAAGGAAACCTAATTACCAAAGAAAAGGAACAATGGGCTGACCACTTCAAAAAACTGTTGAATCGATCACCACCTGCAGCCCAGCCACAGAACTATCAGTGAACACAAACCCTCCGACAAAAGTAGTAGTGAAGTCCTGAACGTCATAGAGTTGCTGAAATGAGGGGAAGGAGTAGGACCAGATGGAATTCCTCTAGAAGCACTGAAAACAGATGCAGAGACATCAGCGGACATGCTCACACCATTATTGCAGAAGGTTTGGAAGGAGGGAAAGGCGCCTGTCGATCGGAAGAAGAGCTACTTTGTCAAACTTCCTAAGAAGGGCGATCTAAGTCTTTGTAAGAACTGGCGCGGAATCATGCTTCTGTCCACCCCAAGCAAAATATTAAGCCGCATCATCCTGGAGAGACTGAAAAATTCTCTGTATTCAAAATTACGACTGGAACAGGCTGGCTGACTTCAGGAAGTACAAATCATGCTCGGACGAAATTTCAACGCTACGCTACGCATCATCATAAAATCGAGTATAGGATGGCAGTCAACTCAATCTCTACCTCAGCTTCATCGACTTTGAAAAGGCCTTCGACAGCGTCGACTGAGAAGTAATTTGGCAGCTGCTTCAACACTACGGCTTTAGTGCCACAAACCTTTATCAACCTCATTCAACAACTATATGATATATGATGCTACATGCCAATTGATTCACAATGGAAAGCTCGGTGATGCTTTTGAAGTGAAGATAAAAGTAAGACAAGGTTTCCGCCTACCATCACCGATGATCTTCCTAATTGTGGTCGACTGGACTGGACCATACAAGAAACTGTGAGGAGCGAGAAGAGGAGGATACGCTGAACCGAGGAAAAGACCCTAGAAGATTTGGATTTCGCCGATGGCTTGTGTCTAATGTCGCACAAACTCGGAGATCTACAGGCGAAAACTAACAAGTTGACAGAAGAGGCAGTGAAGACAAGACTTCAAGTGAACGTAGAGAAGATAGAGATGATGATGATACCCAATGAAGACCACCAACAACAACAACAAGCTCCAATCACCATCAGGGGGAGAAATCCAAAGGAAGTAGTCTCTTTCACCTGCCTAGGCAGGCAGCATCGTTTCAACTACAGGCGGCACAGCACAGATGAGGATGTCAAAGCCAGCCAGGATCAGAAAGACAGCAAGACAGACGTTCATTGACTTGAAACCAGTGTGGAGATCTTCTGCACTCAGCATAAAGCGTGAACAACATCCGGATTTTCATCACTTATTCAGTCAAGTCAGCGCTTCCATATGGTTCAGAGACTTGGCGCGTTACGAAAAGCATTTCCAACAAACTACAGATATTCATCGACAACTGCCTACGCTCGTTACTGAAGCTCAGATGGGTAGAATAATAAGAATAAGCAACAAGGAACTCTGGCCTGGCAACGAACCAACCAAGAACCTATCGCCCAACAAATATGCAGAAGAAAGTTGAGATGGTTAGGATTGGACATACACTAAGAAGACCGTTCGGGGACATCACGCTCTAGACCAGACCAGGCCCTCGAGTGGGACTCTAAGGGGATACGGCATGTTGGGCGTCCGAGGCGAGGGTGACATGGAGGAGATCGTGTGAGGAGGAAATGAGAGCTTCTGGGGAGTCGTGGAGCCAGATTTACAAGACTAGAGAGAACAGAGGGGGATGGCGACGTGCTACCGAAGCCCTGTGTTCCACTGGGAACCCAAAGGACAAATAATAATAATAAAAAAAATAATAATAATAATTGACCACTGTATTTCAAGAATTCTCATGAATTTATATCTGTAGAGCCTGAAGAAGTTGCTGGAAACAACTGTTCGCTGAAATTATTAATATTCTGAATAATCTATGAGGATCTTTAAATTATTAAAGCTTTTTTTTCCAGAACAAATGATATAAATCGCTTGTGGTAATTCATAAATACTGTAATGTCTATTTTATTGTGTGCGATAAAATTGCCCAGATCCGTATAATAAGCTCTGAATCCCTGAAGCCTTTCACAACAAATCGTGCTACTTCGGAGTTTCGAGAAAAAGCACGTGAGTCTACGCGTAAATACCAGAATGGTTGAAGAGGTAAAAACCAATAGCATATGAAATCCTAGAAATAAATAGTTAAGGCCATCATATATATATATATATATATATATATATATATATATATATATATAAACTGTTATACTTTGTTCAGATTTTGATGCTCAATACGCCTGTTATCTTACTGCATTTTCCATTTATTAGGCAGAGGAGTAGTCACTTTCAGACATACGTAACCAAGATAATATCAGTTTCGAACATCCATTAGTATTATTCAGGAGGGTGTGCATGTATATACAAGAAGTGTTGTGCAGTCTTACCTCAGAATTCAACCAAAATAGATTAACGCTAAACTTAGTAACTTTGTGGCTGCAAAAATATGATTTACTGGTAAGTCCCAGGAAGTAAGAAACCATAAATAATGAAATAACCTAGAATTCAGACTACCTCTTGGGACATCCATTTATCACCGGTATTAAGATTTTTTAAATTCCCCATCAAGTAAATTAGAACAAAACATTCAAGATTCTACGCTGAGTAACTCTGTCTACCATTTCCCAGCCAGTCAATTTTTGTTGCGAAAAACAAAAAAATACGTTATCTAGTTTTGCCATTTCTATGCGTATTTACAAGTTTAGCTGTTCCTGTGGAGAAAGTCATATGCGTGGTACTACTTCTACTAGACAACTTAGCAGACGTGTTGCTGAGCTTCTACCTTCATGATTAGGAAAGAGATAGATAAAATCCATCAGGTCTGTTTTATCTCACCTCATTGACAGTGGACACTTGGTAGATAAGAATAATAATTTCAAGATTACTCATCGCATACTATCTGATTTCCCCAAAAGTATTTGAACTGGTCTTCTACATATCGCAAAAGCTGTGGAAATTCAAGCTAATAATCCTGTTCTTTGTATGCAGAATGAGTTTGTACATTCCTCATCTCTACCTTAAACAGGGAATACTTAATAAACAAACATCATTGAAATGTTTCCTATCCATTACTTATCTTTCACCCCTTTCATATACTAAATATATTTGTTGTCAACTTAACTACCTGAGACAGCAGAATTGAGGTGATACCAAGTGACGACAGAAGGTGAAGTAAAAAATTGAGGCCACGACAGGATTCGAATCGGCAACAAAATTGGTAGCTATTGACTCAATAACTGGTATCATGTATAACAGTAGAAACTGCTTGTTTTTCAGCATAATCCTACTTTATCAGACATTCAAGTCACCAAAATGGATCCAAGTTTACGAACTCATTGATTGATTCGGTTTTCATGTTGAAAAAACCTTAGGTTTGATATCGAATATTGATGTGTCATTATTTCAACCGCACATAAACAAACATAAGTCGTCACCAGCATGCAGTCTTTGTATGTCGTCTACCTTCCACCGTGCAGTTGTGTATTGTACTTGTGCTTCGATGGATGTTTGGATATCTCACTGACACACGCTGACAAGTAACGGACCAGTCTTTTGTCTTTGTGATAAGATACTTTTGTTAACCTTCCCTTTGAAAGTGATACAATTTTCCAGAGAAGTAATGAAATCAGTGTAATCAAATGATTTTCCTTTTATCACAAAATGGTGCATTCTTATTTACCGTCTTTGGACTGGATGGTCAGCTCGTTGATAAAGTATTTTATTTGTATAGAAATATATTATAGTTATCGCTATAAAACACATGACACAACTCTTCTTTCAAAAACATACGTGCACAAAACTTACACGTTCGACAACTGTGCTGAGTCCATGAACTAGCACAATATGCCTCAATAACTTGTAGAATTTTTGCATCATCCGCTGCACGAAGTTCGTTTTCATCTAAACATTAAGCAAAGAAGAGGATAAAATCGCTTAAATTTGTGATTCAATATAAAGGAATCAGAACAGGGATTCCAACATTCAAAAAGCGGTTAAAACACACTGTCAGAATCCATTGCTACAGTGGTTAGCACAAACGCACACTTGTGTATCATGTGGACACAATATGTGCTGTTATTATTATTATTATTATTAGTAGTAGTAGTATAAATATAATCAGACCATGATGCTGTAAACAACCATGATATATAGATAAATGTAAGTAATACATATTTACACAGATGTTTTAATCAATCGTGGAATGATACTTGAATACGTGCACGTTTTTTCAAACAAAGCATTTGTTAATCACCTTTCACGCAAAGAGGAAGTGTAAGCTAGCCATCATTTAAATGCAAGTAGTCGAAAGAAATCAAGCAACTTTATGCATTTTGAGGCAGTAAAAAAAGGAAAGACAAAATGGAGACAATGCACACAATGATAAGCACCATGTTTCTGCATACATACATATCTTTTTGATGGTGATGATGAATAGTGACTAACAAGGGAATCCATCTTGACACAGGTTTCTTCCGATTTGAAGTTCGTCAACTGAATACACTTGCACTCTAGTGAGCGATGTTGTTCCCACCAAGATTCGAACCCAAAACTGATCGCGTCAAATGCCACAGCGTTAACCATTAGGCCAGTGAGTGACGATAGGCACTTCTTTTGCGATAAGTATAGTTTTTATACAATTGCTATTAATGTGAAACTACATGAGACACCCAGGTATCCGTGCAGCAGCCTATGTGGCGATAGAGAAGGATCAGTTCAGTCTAATCAACAACAGAACATTACAATCAATAATATACATATCTTTTGTTTGCTACACCATATTACTGAGTTTATTTACACCAGCAAATATGCAGATAAATTCAGTTCCTGGCTAGCTGACTAATTAAGAAATGCTATTCAACTGCTTTATAATGTCACAGTGGTTTAACACTTCAGAAAATAATTTCGCTTATTCACGTTGGCACAATAACAAGTTGAAAACATTTTAGATTGGAAAATAACACCGGTTTAAACTGAAAGGGTAGGAAATCAATATGAATTCTAAATAAGCCTCTGATGATGACTGAGTTACAGAGAAATGAATAAACGATTAAAAAAGTAAACGTTGACATCGCAGTTAACATTCAATGATCTCACTTCCGTTGATTACTGTCTCGGTTAGACAGCATCTCAATGAAATAACACAACGGCACTACTATTAACACTACCTAATACACACGAACGCCTATAGGTAATTGAAGCTTCTGACTGGTCAACAAAAAGCCAAAAGCAACTGATCTTTTCTCAGTCGCTGAAACAATCAGATAAGACTATCTCCAATCCCTGAAAGTCATCTGGTTTATTTGGAGTATGCAGAAGATTTCGTTTTACCTGATGAAGACGCTAGCAAAATGCAGGGTTTCCCAAACGTGTTGAACAAAAATCTCAGTATTTTTGGCATACGTCTCGTACCTGTCAAATGTAAGATGATGCTCCAGGACTGGTCTGCAACCACTCCCAGTTTAAGGGTAGGGAGTAAAGTGGAGGAGTGTGTCAACCACTCCACTTAATTGGGCAGTTGCATCAGATCGAACGGGCTGGTTACTAACAAAATCTCAGATCGAATACAGAAGGCCCGTTTGGCATTTACCAACTTGCCTCATTCATGGTACCTACTGGCGAGATATCCGACTATCTATCAAAGGATGAGTATACTGAGCTGTAGTCCATTCTGTTCTATTGCACGGTTGTGAGACATGGCTGCTAAGAGTAGAAGACAGGAAGTGATTACAGAGTTTTGATCATAAGTGGCTTTGTAGCACTGCTCACACCATGTGAGCAGTGTTTGGATCAGACGAAGGACATTGAGTAAGACAGGCAGGTCGATTGATGAGGTTGTGAACCTTAGTCAACTGAGATGGCTTGGACATGTAGTGTGTATGCTGAGCCACCGACTACCTCGAAGTGCCATTGTGGGAGAAGTTGGATTAAACTGGAAGAGGGTTGAGGGTGACTAAACCGAGACTGTGGCCCTGGTTGACGAAGTACCTGATTGTTAGTCTGAGTCTTGTGGGGAGATGTAGACTGCCCGGTTGGGGTCCCTGAGACTAAAGGAATCAGTGATTTAGGACATGGTTGAAAATCGGTCACAATGGAACAGACCTATTCACTCTTCGACTGATATCATCTAAGGCTTGAATACTTGTAGAAACCGTTATCTTTAAGTTGTTATTCTCTCACACATCATCCTTTTACACTTTGATATCAGCTTTTTTCTGTCCACCTGTTCTATGTGCACTACTGTGAAGTGTGGCAACTTGAGCAGATGGACTTGTGAGCGAGGTTCTATATTGACTTCATCTGTATCATCAATTCATCAAAACAAAGGGAATCAATGTGTGCTTTTGTAATACGCTACTACGATCATCCGGATTAATTCTTCCATTTTATTACTAGCAGCTTACATTAATTCCCTGTGGATTAGAATCGAAGAGGATGATAACTAATGCAACCTATAGGCAAAACTCAGTGTATACACAATTTGTGATTCTGAGGTACTATCAATTCACATCAAAACAGAATCAAGTCTGAAAGCATACACTGATTAATCTGCATGCACATGGCTAAATGGATTAACACTCGTATTAGCGATGTGAGAAAAGTGATCAGCAGACAGCAAGACAGTACCAATTCCAAGGACGAAGTAACTAAAAGCATACTGTGCAATTCATAAGTGCATGCAAAGGGATTAGTTATAAACAAATATAATGCAGTCTCATTAATTACGTATTTTCCCCACAGAACGTAAAACATCCTCCACAGTGATGGCACTTTTCTGTCGATCTGATTGCCAATTATAGTATGAACACATTGAGACGTATTGTCAACCGTTTCAATCGAAAATACAAGAATGAAATAGTACACAAGTAACTGTAAACACAGAGGTAAGTATGAGATAGAAAATGGGAACCAGTTTATTTCATATAAAAAAAGAGAGAATGAAAAAGAGAAAAGTTAGGTGGGACAAGTAATACTATTTATTTGTTTATCAGTAACGAGAAAAAACCGCTACAAAGTATACGATAACAATAATGGTGGGCAAAAGATAGCTCAAAAGTGCAACATTGCTTATTAAATATTCAGAATTACTGATCGGTTCACTTAGGTAACTGCTACCAGATGTAAAATAAGAATTCTATTTTCTGAAATCGTTGTATCAAGTCATTCACTTAGCATAATCACTCATCAATGCGCACTGTCACACATTCCTTGAAATGAGAAATGAAGATCTTCAGATCCGACAGTAACACTGTAATTCACCCATTGAGTTGAAATACAATATCCCAGGATTCATAAGTATTCCCCAAGTTCTAATAGTTAGCTATAAATTATGGGGTCAGTAAAGCAGGAGTAAAGATATATACATGGAGAATATCAAATAGTGACCATTTTACATCATGTACTGAGTTTAGCTATAAATGTTGATCACTGAATCGAAAAAAAGTGACTGAATTTTAATTCTCCTGAATAGTGCACTCATACAAAATGGTATTACATATGTAGTTTGCTAAGTAGTTCCAGGTAAAAAAAAAAGTGATAGTTGTGAAAGGCTATCTCCCTTCAGTGGTTCCTTAGCTAATCAACGCATAACGAGGCAAACGATTCCTTCAAAATCAGTCAATTGCATCTCATTGTAGATTGTCACTAAATGCATTACGCATCCACTAACCCGTCAACGATAGTAGAAACAAACGTGACAACGCTGAAAGTTCTTCGTATCTCATTCAACTGAAATCTGAGACATATTCGCTTCAAAATAAAGAATCATATTGTATAGCATTTCGCTTTCTCCTACCACATGGCAGTAAAAAGTGACCATCAAAGATGGAAGACATCAGAAGGCTTCAGGTTTTCAGCTACCATTATCTTCGGAGCATAAGCAAGCCATGTGTCGTGGAACTGCACCATCGGTAATACAAAGGTTAGGTGTAGAGTCTAAGTAAAAAGGTGGGTCAGTTCACAAGGTTGTGAACAGTCATGGATACAACGAGCCGGAACATGTATCACACACGCCTAATCACCGCCAGACTTCGTAATCCAATGTCGGCCACAGAATTAGATTATGCTGGGTTGGTCAGAGTATGACGTAACATCACATCCACTGTCCCTGACTATTGGTATAATCCGTGTAGAGGAATCTACACCATCCGCTCGGAGTCGCAACGTGGTAACGAAAATTGATAGTTGGAGACTAGGTAATATGGTTCAGAATAGATAGTAATGCTTCGGTCAGAAATATCTATATACTGCAAGTTAGGCACAATCTCCAGAAATTACTACGTGACGTGTAGAACGAAACTGAGGAATGAGCAATCAACGAAAAAAGAATAGCATCTCACCATTCAACTCCCACTAATCCCCTTGTACAATATGCAACACAAAGAGTAAACAAAATAAAATATCACTGTATGAATGTGCAACGATGAATAATGTTTTTTCGTCACACAGAAAGGAGAAGTATGAAGTGAAATTGCCTATTTTAAAGAATTGGAAATCGTAATACTGTTTGCTTGACAGCGAGTTATGCAATCGAAGTACAAACCAACACCCAGTGCACAGATGATTTTCATCATCCAACAGCAGCATAATGGATAACAGATAGGTATTAAAAGTGATAGGTGCGAAGTTGGAGTTTATATAAGAGTAAAATTTAGGGCCTGTGGTAGAAAGTAATCTTATTTTAGTTGATTTACTCGATATGTTTCACACAGTGGGATAGTATTATTTACTGGATAACGCTTCGGACACAATTTATTGTCCATAGCCATATCAAGATAACTACACAACTTTGAGACATGCTATATATAGTTCCAATTTGCCACATATATCTGGAACATGTCGTGGGTTATTCCTATCGCATGTATTAGGTTTTGATTCGGTAAACACAGATTTGTTTATCGATCTCTCCCTCCAGCCCGCTAGGTTAGTTTTAAGGGTTTTCACTTTGTCCCATCCTATTGTGTGGTTGGTTGTGTGTAACTGCGTGGACAGCCATGGCCGGCGTTTTCTCTTACTAGGACCTACCAATTTTAACGTAGCTATGCTTTTGTGCTCGGATAACCTGATATTGACCCTGGTCGACTACTTTCACCTATGTATTTGACCTCGGAATCGTTGCAGGGAATTTGGTAAATTAAATTATTCTGCTTGATTGGATCAACAGGATCTTTAAACCTACAAAGCTTATTTCTTAGTCAGTTTGTAGGTTTAAATGCTACTGTAATCCCAGACAGCGTCATTGAGAATCCTACGTAATGTCTCTGAGGTGCCTTCCTTTTGTGGTAATACTGTAGAGGTTTTGAATTCTTTCTTCACAGTATTACAACTATTATTATTACGTTCCAGGTATATGAAAAATCCTGCTATGTATATTACAAAGCAGGTGAAAGAATTAGAATCATATAAAGCATGTCTCAAAGTTGTGGAGTTATCTTGAGATGACTGTGAACAATAAATGGTGTCAAAAACGTAATACAGTAAATAATCCTGTTCCACTGTGATACATATCTAATAAGTCAACTAAGACAGAATTTCACTCTCCCAAAGTACCCAAGTCTTACTCCTATATTAGCTTAAAGAACCAAATAAATATCACTTTATGGGTATCGAAGAGAAGTCAAAATGCACTCAGCAACCTTGTACACATTCATGCAGTAGGCAATGAACCACACCTATTGTATGAGGGCTAATGAGACTGTCTGGCTGCCCAAATGTCCATAGGTGGGGTGGGACTCGAACGCGTGGCTCACTAGTTGAAAGTCTACTCCGTGAACCAGTCAGCCACAACTCTACTTTCGTAGGTATGGTTGTTTCTTAATTAATTCCGGAGGGGTAATTGTTGAGGATAAGGTGCCCTAAATGTATCTAATTTCTTGTTTTAGATCTTCAGTTTTACCAGTAAGACTATCGGCCCTGTTACCTGGACACTTTAAGAAGTCAACTGTAACTGATATAGGGTGAGACGATTTGAAGTCTAAACTAACGATTTGAGTGTGGTTTTTTGTAGACATTAGTGTTAAAACTTCCATCCTATTTGTTACGACCCCACGCAACGCATAACGATGCAACGATCCGAAACGAATGCTATTAACGATAGAACAATGACTTCTCAACTCGATATTCAGCTGACACCAGAAGACGATAGGATTGAAGGTTTGCCCACTCCAACCGAATAATGATAAGGGGAAACTCAGTCGTTTATATATCCTTAGATGGCCTTTACCAGAGAAAACAAAATAGCATATTCAAAGTGTAGAACGGACCAATCAGCGTTTGGTATCCTAAACTGCGGTAAAATTAAGAAACATAACATGGCGCAAAAAAGGCCTAAACTTTACAATGATAATATAAACATATTATAAGTTAGTTATCTTAGGGATTGGCCATCCCTTACATTATTTCCGTTTTATTCTGCAATCCAACATCGCTAAATCTCCTTCACCATTTTCCAGTGCATAGGTAAATTGGATTGCGCTGATGATTATTGAATTCATATATATATAAAGAAACAATGTATATGCTCGGATCTCAACAATGTAAATATGTCATATACACATCTAAACCACACTTTTGGAGCAGGATTAAATGTTTCGACAGCTATACGTTTACAACTATCCATAAGTATATTAGCCACAAGTATAAGGAGTTGCAACGGGATCATCAATATCCCCTATCGTACCAGACAGATGAAAAACTTCAAGCTATCGGATTGTGGACTCTTAGAAACTGCCTCACCCTAAACCGATCCGAAAGACGACAACAAATCTAGGTAGAGTGAAAGAGAGAAAGAAAGTAGCAAAAGCTACTACCCGTTTAATTCAGTCTTTTGTTAATCGTATTAGAAAGCCTGTTAGGAAAACAAAAAAGATAGATATGGCATGAAATAAGGGAAAATGCAAATAAAACTGGAAAGGAAAACCAACCAACTCGTTAGCAGAAAAATGAGCACAAGAAAAACTTACGATTACATAAAAGTTGTAAAGTCCCTGAAGTAAATACATGCAATTTACTTTACAACGAACTATAAAAAAAGTAATTAAAAGTGAGTAAACGCACCTACGCTTGAGAATGTATTTGTAGACTGATAAAATACTTCCATGTTGATCAGCTAGTTAACTAGTTGTTTAGTCGGTTGAAAGAAAATAAGCACGGAGTAGCAAACTTAGTTCTCTACGTATATTTGCATCAAAAATTAAGGATCCACTGTGGATGTTAGTACAACTAATGGTTCGTCAAAATACGTGATAGATGAAGTTATAAGGTAGGGTATTTTGAGCACACTTATGAAAGGTTACTGAGGTAAGACATGATAAAGCACAGGATTAAATGTTGTAAATGGTGAAAGACTGCGTCGTGATTCGCCTGACCTCATCTCTCCAGTGGGAGTGAATCTCCGAAATTCACATGATTTTAAGGAGATTTAATAATTAGTTCCTATAGGCTAGCTGGGTTAGGTAAAGTATTCAGTTGCACGACAGAAAGTACATTTCCCGACTGGATACCCATCGACAACCAAATATCCACTGTCCGACTGAATGAATGCTTAAGAACTGTAAGGATCGTGACACTTGTCTGCGTTTACTTAATATTATTATTATTAGTCCCTTGGGTTCCTAGTGGAACATAAGGCTCCGGTAGCACGTCTCCAGTGAACTCTGTTCTCTGAGATCTTTTGAACCTGGCTCCACGACAGCCCAGAAGCTCTCATTTCTTCCTCGCACGACCTCCTCCATGTCACCCTCACCACGGACACCCAACTCGTCGCTTCCCATGGGGAATCCACTCGAGGGCCTGACGCGTGATGTCCCCAGTCGGCTTTCTCAGTGTATGCCCAATCCATCTCCACCTCCTTCTGCATATTTGTTGGATGATAGGTTCTTGGTTGGTTCATTCCCAGAGCTCCTTGTTGCTTATTCTTTCTGACCATCTGATCTTCAGTAACGAGGCAGCGTAAGCAGTTGTTGATGAATGTCTGTAGTTTATTGGAAATCCCTTTCGTGACGCGCCAAGTCTCTGAACCATACAGAAGCACTGACTTGACTGAATTGGTATCGGAAATCCGGATCATGTTCCGCACGCTGAGTGCAGAAGATCTCCACACTGATTTCAGGCTAATGAACGCCTGTCTTGCTTTCACGATTCTGACTTTGACATCCTCGTCTGTGCCTGTGCCGCCTGTAGTTGAAATAGTGCTTCCTAGATAGGTGAAGGAGGTTGCTTCTTTTAACTTTCTCCCGTTGATGGTGACTGGAGTTTGTTGTTGTTGTTGGTGCGGTATCTTCATCACTTCTGTCTTCACTATATTCACTTGAAGTCCCGTCTTCGCTGCCCTGCCTCTTCTGCCAACTTGTTAGTTTTCGCCTGCAGATCTTCAAGTTTATGTGACATCAGGCACAAGTCATCGGCGAAATCCAAGTCTTCTAGATTCTTTTCCGCAGTCCAGCGTATCCCCCCCTTCTCACAGCTCCCCACTGTTTGCTGCATGATCCAGTCGACCACAATCAGGAATATCATGGGGGATAGTAGGCAACCTTGTTTCACTCCTGTCTTCACTTCAAAAGCATCATTGAGCTTCCCATTGTGAATTACTTCGCATGTGGAGTCTTCATATAGTTGTTGAATGAGGCTGATAGAGGTTTGCGGTACTCCGTAGTAATGAAGCAGTTTCTAAATTACTTGTCAGTCGACGCTGTCAAAGGCCTTCTCAAAGTCGATAAAGTTGAGGTAAAGAGCTGATTGCCATTCTATGCTCTGTTCTATGATGATGCGTAGAGTGGCGTTGCAATTTGGTCTGCACATGATTTGTACTTCCTGAAGCCTGCCTGTTCCGGTCGTAGTTTTGAATCCAGTGCATCTTTAAGCCTCTCCAGGATGATGCGGCTTAATATTTTGCTTGCTTTGGGTGGACGGGAGAGTGATTCCGCACCAGTTCTTGCAAACACTCAGGTCTCCCCTCTTCGGCAGTTTGACGAGGTAACCCTTCTTCCAATCACTAGCCAGGTACCTTCTCTTCCTTCCACACCTTCTGCAATAGTGGTGTGAGCATGTCTGCTGTTGTCTCTGCGTCTGTTCTCAGTGCTTCTGGCGGGATCCCATCTGGTCCTGCTGGTTTCCCACATTTCAGTAGTTTTGTGGCGTTCAAGACTTCCATTTTTGTTGGAGGATTTATGTTCACCTGCAGTTCAGCGGCTGCAGGTGGTGGTCGATTCAAGAGCTTCTTGAAGTGGTCGGCCCATTGTTTCCTCTGTCTCTCTTCTTTCGTAATTAAATTTCCTTCTTCATCTTTTATTGGTTTCATCTGAGATAATCTCTTCCCTGATAGCAACCTGGTTATTTGATACAATGTTGTCAGGTCTCTCCTACCAACAGCCTGTTCTACTTCACTTGCCAATGTGTCGTAGAAGTGTCATTTGTCTTTCTGCACACTCTTCTTCACTTCTTTATCCAATGTGGTGTTTTGTACGTTGTACTCAGTTCCTCTTCTCATCGTTCATCATTGAACTGGTTTATCTTCTGCTTCATCATCCTCCTCTCCCTGCTCTATCAGCTTCCATGTGTCCGTCGAGATCCATTCCTTATCTTCTTTCTTCTTCCTTCCTAACACGGTTATGCAGATTTCTCTCCACATAGCTTTCAAAGAGTCCCAGTGTTCATCCAAATAGGTTTCTTCAGGGATGTTGCTCGATATCTCTCATTTTGTTTGTTCTGATGGCTGACGTGAAGATGTCCTTTGTAGTTTTGTCCTTCAGTTCACTTTCTGTTCTGGGTGTTGAACTTCAACTGTGGTCTATCACCAACTTCCTTGAAGGCTTCCAACTTGATTTTGAAGGTTCCTTGCACTAGACAATGAATGGTGTGAACCTACATCTGCTCTCCTCCCTTGATCTTGTGTCCAGTAGGCGGCGTCTCCACTTTCTTCACATTGAGATGAAGTCGATCTGATTTTTAGTGTGTCCATCTCGTGAAATCCATGTCGCTTTGTGGATATCCTTGTGCTTGAACACAGTGCCTCCAATTACCAAATCGTTGAATGCGCAGAAATCTGCAAACAATTCTCCATTCTCGTTCATTTCACCGAGTGCTTCTCGACCCATGGTTAGTTCTCTTCCTGTATTGTCCACTCCCAGTTTGGCATTCATGTCGCCCATTAGAATTTGGATGTCGCCAACTGAGGTCTTGTCCAGTGCTGATTGCAGTTGTCTGTAGGATTTCTCCTGCTTCTCTTGATCTGCATTATTTGTAGATGCATAGCGTAGCATTGTATGATTGTAACTTTCTTTCTTTTTGATTTCAATCCTGCAGTCATAATCCTGCAGGAGGAGATTGGTTGCCACTGCATGAGAGCCTTTGATGCTCTTGGGGACATCACGATAGCCACTCCAAAACTCAGTGTGCTCGTGGTTGTCGTCTCGGTGACAATATCGGAGTAGATTATTGACTGTCCAGTTGACAGTTGGGAGAGTCCACTTTCATTCCATCTGCTTTCGCAGATTCCTAGCACTTCTATGCCATATCTCCTCATCTCTTTGGCAATCTGAGCAGCCTTGCTAGGTTCAAACACTGTTCGGACATTCCATGTTCCCATCCTTACTTTCGCTTTCATCGAGAGAAGAGAAGACATATCGGCCAATTGGCTTCCCGAAGGCTTTCACCAACTGGCGTCATTTCGTCTCCCCGATTCCAGTGAGGAATAAGTTTATTTTTGTCTTTTATATTTCGTTTGTGCTTTGAAGTTGCCTTAGCGATTGGATTGATTCTACGAGGTAGGGTTGCTAGCCCTATGCCCAACCTTCCCTCTTTACCCGGGCTTACGACCGGTTAGTAACTAGTGAACTAGTTAACCAGGCGAGGTTCTCCGTTTAGTTATAGTAACCACCAATATGCCAATCAAGTGCAGTCTGGATAGTAAAAGGAATGACTTTTACCCAAAGCTACCAACTTTCTTACACATCAGTAACGACAATCGGTAACCTATACCCCGAGGCTAGCAAAAACAAATGGATTTCAGAAACGTCATAGAGACTGAATGACACGAGAAGAACTATTCCACCTGGCTCTGACTACAATGAGGTAAAAAATTATGTCAAGGCTAAATGGATCTAGAGCCATCGCAATGACCAGAGGCAGTAGTGGTCGGGGAAAGCAGCAGAACAAGCTAATAACCCGGCTATTACTTTAGCTTATTAAGGATACCGGCAAAAAGAAGACGATGGTGAGTGAGACCACCACTGATATAGACATGACTCTGATAACCTCTCATGATAGACATATAGAACGTTGAGCGGAGCAATTTGAAGAACATGTCAACTGGCCCACAGCAACACTTTGATTGCCCAGTAACGAGCCCAAACCTGAATGGGACGTAGATATTGGTCTTCTAATTCTTCTCGAAGTTTAGAAGGCTGTTTCAAATTTGAAACGACCTAACTGTTCGCCACCAGAAAATTTCAAGGATGGAGGTAGGAAGTTGCTGAATAGAGTAACGGAGGTAACAAGTAGTGTATAAAAATGAGAGGTAACTCCATCAGAAAATTCCGCGTAACTGACCATTCCAGTCTATAAGAAAAAATAGAAGTCTTCTTGAGAGAAGGGCAGCTTAACTAACAGTGTCCAAGATCCTACGGTCCATATTTGTCTGAAACCTAATTGGGCTCAAGAACAGCCAACTCGACGAGAATGCATCCATCGGATCTCCACCTTTCGACAGTTTTCAGAACGTAGATTTACCTACCAGCGGTCGACATGTGCTATATTTCTTGACCCAACGGTATCATTCAACTCTGTCCACCAAGAGGTGTTGTGGCGGTGTTTGACTGTAAGAGGAAAAGCGAAAAACTATTTGATGCTAATTAAAGCTCTCCACTCAAACTCATGCAGATGTGTAAGGAGGTAAGGAGAGTTATCAAATGAAGTGAAAATAGTCAGTGGTATCCTCCATATATGTCCACCGACACGTTCCTGTGCAAATTCGACATACATATATTAACCAACCTAACTCTAGGCGCTCTCGACTTTAAAGGGATTGACCTACTTCCCAAAGCGAACTAGGTTGACTTGGATTACGAGAACAGCATAGTCTAGTTAGGTGAAAACGCTGAAAAAAAGTCTTCTGAACGCCTTGTTCAGAAATCTTGAGTATATTTAGTATGGGTTCCTCACCTGTCAAATGTAGGATGGTGTTTCAGGACAAGTCGACAATTATTCCTAATGGAGGGATAGGGAGTAGAGTTAGAACGCACTTGGGAAGCTGCATCAACCTAAATGGCGTCGTTACTGACGAAATTTCACCTCGGATACAGAAGACACGTATAGTGGAATCACCGAGTGAGCAATGTTGGAATTAAACGAAGGTACTAGGCAGGGAAAGCACGTCAGTCAATGGGATTACTAACCTTGACCAACTGCTGAGATATCTTAAAGATATATTTCGCATTCTGAGGAACTACCCACTTCAAAACATAATACTACACGGAGTAGGAATGGGTAGAATAAGGCTAAGGGTGATCAGATCAAGATATAGCAGCAGTTCATGAAGTCTTTGACTGTTAAGCCATACAGGGAGGTGTGGAGTGTTTGAATGGAATCTTTGAAATGGTAGGCATCAATGGTTACAGACTATTAAAGGTAAGTTTCAAAATAGGTCATAATGACGCAGTTTTATTCGCCCGTTGCAATTTTTGAAAGTTTTAACATTTTCATGTACCGTCCTTTTGTAAATCTCTCTCTTCTAATCGACTTTCTTTCATTCTAATATCATTCTTTCTCGATTCACTTGTTCTCTTTGTGTTGCTACGAAATGTGGCTAATTGAAACGACGCTATTTTGTGTTAGTTTCTACGTTGATTTTGATCTGTTGGACCAAGTAAGAAAATCTAGGTAATATTGATGATAGTATGCATGAAAGGTAAATGGTAGGTATATACCTCACCTCAAGGAAGTTTCTAATAAACAAGTGTTAGGGAATGAAGGTAAATCAGTCGATGAGGTTGGGAACATAAACCCACTCAGATGGTCAAATTGTGTTGTACATGCTGAGCCGCCACTCAACTATAACGTGTGGTGGTGGATAAAGTAGGTGAAGTTTCAAAGAAAGTTGAGTAGCCAGACCATAAGCACTCGACGATAACAAATATCCTTAACAGTTATTACAAGTAAAAAAACAAACGATTGACTACTCACCGCCCCGTTTACGACGTGATTCTTTAGCTGATTCAACCATCTTAGGACTTTGAGGTCGTACACGATTGTCCACTGAAGCACCAGACGTTGTGTTATCACCACTAAAAACCACGGTATTACTGGAAAACCCGCCAATAACATTAGCTGCACTTGAAAGTCCTATGCTATTTAAACCATTCACGGAACCAGTTCTATCGCTAGGATGAAAGAAATCCAATGGACCATCAATACGAAGATAACGAATAGCATGAGTTAAAGCACTATTTGATGATGATGATACTGTTGTCTCTTCTTTATTTCTATTCGGGACAGTAACCGATGGATCAGTAGATAACTGTTTCAATTGCTTATCCATGGCTGACGTATCCTTCTCTAAAAGTAGGGAAAATAGAAGTATATGTATAGGTAAAGTGAGTCGAGCATCTGTTGATCATCGACTAATTGGGAATTCGATGTTGTCAACGCGTATAAGTCATGCTCCATTTATCGAGATTTGATTTCAAGCTGGTATTCATCACGAACTGAAATCAATTGGAAACACCTGGAAACCTAAGAGCATTGAACAGGTATTTCGTCCAAGCATGAGACTTATCAGTAGTACAGTCAAGTAACTTCATTATCACACACACACACACACACAGAGGATGTGTGTGGCCTAGTGCACAAACATGTTCATGATTGCTTCATTAAAAGTAATATGAATTAACTGGAAGTGAACTTAGTGTTGATAAAGTAGTCTGAAACTATTGCATCTTGATTGGAAAATATTCACTCTGGAATCAAGCATCACATGGAGAAATCGGAAGCAACAAACCTAGTATCAGCTAATACTTCGATTCCAAATCCAAACCTGTAACAATAGTCAAATCAATCAATACCAAGATAGGACCAGGAATTACCGCACAACGGTCCAAGTTGCCACACCGCATATCAGCACAACAAGTAACAAAGTAGTAAGATTAAATATGAAGAAAGAGAGAAAATTAGGCCAAAAGTAGTAGGAAGCAATAAAAGTGAGAAAGGAAGAGTGAGAAAATGCTGAAATCAGTATAGCAGTTCAGATGAAGATAGTGTCTGGATACTTCTGCACTACGGCGATGGATTCTGAGCAGTACCACCACATAGATGCCAACTAGTGGTTTTTGTCGTCATATGAACCCCAACCGGCTAGTTTGCACCTCCCTTCATGGCTCAAACCAACAGTCAAGGACTTCATGAAGTGATGTTGTGTTTTAGTCTGGCCGCTCCTTACCTTTTTCTCGCGTGAACATACCTCAGCGAACATTGTGAGACGAGGCGGACGGTGACTAGGCACGCGTAACACATGTCCGAACCGTTTTAGTCGATAGAGGTTCACGACCTTATCAACTGACTTTCCTGTCCACCCAAAAATTTTACACTTGACTTCTCTGCTACTCACGTGGTGACACCAAGAAGGCAACAGCAATCAAACATTAGAAGCTTTCTTATATCCTTTATCTTTAATGGCCATGTTTAACAACGATACAGCAGGACAGAGCGGACTGGAGCAAAGTAAACTCAACCCTTAATAGGTAATAAGATATCGCGGCGGCATTGCAGATGGCAAAAGCCAGTCGAGCAATTTTGTATCCATGCAGAGACTTTATCGACTATTGATCCACCAAGGTTGATCCGATCTCTCAGGTAAGTGAAGTGATCAACGCATTCAACCGCCTCAATCACTATTGCTACACAAGGCACCACTGAAGACCAGTCCTAGAGAAATAATTTGCATTTGGGTGACAAGAAACGCATCGCAACCATTCTCAAATTGGCACTCAAAGTGTTCAGAAAACTCTGCATTTTGTCAGTCTTAACGTAACAGAACAATGTCAACTGGGTATTCTAGATGTAGCAAGGATTCTCCTGCGAACAGACCAATCCCTGCGGTATTAGATGACGAGAGAGAGACCTCTATAAGATTTATGACAAAACTGAACAGGAATATGGAGAGTCGACAACATGACGCACAATACTCGATGTATACACCTCATCTTAAGCTCTAGAACACCCACGGGTGTTCGAGTAAAGAGCCTTCGACAGAGTGATGTACTTGCAACATATCAGAAGGCAGAACTTTCTCAGGAAAAGTGCTACCACTCACTCCACCAACGGCAAGAATAGCAAGAAATATGCGCGTGAGAGTGAGGTTAGCGGTTTTCAATATGACACTGAGAATGACAAACTAAAAACATGACTTTGGGTGGAGGTCAACTCAGATTCCAACTCCCGGTGTAAGGTTCACGGTTAATAATAAAAATAATTTAACCACTGATATAAGTAGGTTGAATACTAACCAATGAACCACCCTACAACCCCACTAACATACGAGAGATAGAAGAATGCTGGTTACCTGAATCTACTCGATGTATATGAAAGATTCCGTATGCAGCTGCAGTCGAAAAGAAATCTACTCAGTAGACTTTTGCACATTCGTGCAGTAGGCGATGAGCCACACTTATTGTGTGAGGGATAATGACACTACCTGGTTGCCCAAACCTCAGTGAAAGGAGCGACGTTCGGAGCTCTGACCCAGTGATTGGCAGATAACTCCCTAAAACAGTGAGCCACAACTCTACATCTGCAGTATTAACTGTCATCGACAAACGAATAGATTTATCATAAATTCGATTTGGAGGTTTATGGGGATTTATCTATCGATTTCAGATTGGTATTCATCATGAACTGACATCAGTTGAAGAAACATTGGAGGACTAAGAGCACTGCACAGCTTTCTCGTCCCAGTATGGGACTCCGCAGCAGTGGCCACCTATGACCCCATCAGGGATCAAACCAAGGACCTTCAGGTCCTGCGACCAGCACGTTACGACTGAACCACTTAGTCGGGACCCAATCGTCCCTATTTCCTAATTGTGTCATAAATGGCAATTAGGCAATTCGTTTTTGAACTTCTCATCCTAAAATACTACAACCTTATCTAAAAACGTACACTCACCATATTTAGCAACCAACCACATTTTGCTTGTCCGGAGGCCACTTTATACAGATTTCCATGACTGATGGATGGTGTGTTAAGTACTGTCGCACTCATGACCATCCACGGTAACATCCGGATGAATCTCATAAGACAGTTATAATCAGTCAAAAATATCTCAGACTTTACTTTCAACATCGATATCACAAACATGAAGCAGACCAAGTAGTCACTGTGAACAACGGTAAGTAGTCTTTAAAATCCACAATTTTGATAGAGTCAGAGACGTTACCTTTGGGCGATTTCAAACCGTTAGTGGTTGTGGAATTGAGTAGTAAAGATCTAGGTTTCAAATGTACAACTTTTTTCAGAAATGCACATTTCGGTTAGACAGACAGATGAAATCAACGCTGAACCTCGAAGACAAACGCATGGGTTCAAGTTACCACACTCCACAGTAGTATACAAAAAAACTCATATCAAATTGGACAAAAGTGCATGCGAGGAGAGGGAATTTAAGAATTAAGGTTAGTCAAAATATTCAGACTTCGAAAGATGTCAGAGTGAGTACATCTGCAACATTTGTGACCGATTTTTACCACTGATTCCTTTCGTCTTAAGAACCCCAGTCAGGTAGTTCACATGTCCACACGGTTCAGAATAAGAGTTACAGACTCCATCAACAGCTGTCACGTCTTGCTTTGGCCGCCCTGAACCCTCTTCCAACTTAATCAAACTTCCCTTAGCATTGTACAATGAAGTAAGCGGTGGCTCGGGATGCGCAGTACATATCCAACCCAACTCAGTCAATGAAGGTTCACACATTTCAGTGATGACTAATGGTAGACAAAACTTGTTCTAGCCACCTAGTAACATAGCCAAAAATATTCGACAGGATGAACCGAAGGATAAATACAATATCAAAAAGAGATGAAGCATCGCCATTCTATGCAGACCCTTTATGACCAACATCACTAACAGGATCAGATAATGTTAATTTGGTGAATACAGTCTCAAGATTTAATGATGGACAAGCACTCAGCTATAAGTTGGATTGATTGGTTTCATGTATATGCATAAACTAAACTAAAGACTATTTTCTCTACTTAGATGAAGATCTCATCCATCAGAGCATTGATGATCCATGCTATCTAATGGATAGAGAGTCGATTTGCGTTAACTGGTTTGTTGATCGACCAACTGACTAACTTTTAGATGAAAGCCTTAAAAACTAGTCACAAACCAGCCAATCAAGCGCCAAGTACACACAAGTCGTCCAGCCTGAAATAAAGAGGAATAACCAAGAAAGCAAGTAGCCCAACATTTCAGTTAAATACCTTATACCTTATATCTTATATCAAACAAGTCCTAGAGAATAGAAAAGAACTTTATCATCTATTTGACAAATACTTACCAAACCAACGAATATGTGCATCAGTGATGATTTTATGAGGTAGAAATCTTAGCTTTAAAGATGATGATGTTATCAGTACATCTGAGACTGGAACTTCACAATACCCAGCTAATCCCAATGAGATTTGCTTTGAATGACAGGCATCGGTGATTAATTTTGGCACAATAGAGGAGGACTGTTGTTTTTGTTGGTGTCGTTCAGATTCGATATTCAATTGTTCAATGCTTATACTATTGCCTGGTGGTTCAGTTAATGGTCTAGACACTTTATTTCTTTTCAACGATGATAGACGAAGTTTCTCATTATTACTGATATTATCATTGGTGGTAGTGATTGTAGTGTTGACAATGTCTACGATATCATCCTGATTATTATTGGCTAAAGAGATTTTAGCAATACCTTTCAATGAATTTTGCTGATTACTTAAATTTTCCGTAGTATTAGACAACTTGGAATTCAAAGATTCTTCCATCATAGTTGTTGTCATCATCATTTCAGATTGATGATGTGGATGAGTATCACGGTGATGGTAGTGTGACTGGAAATTTTGATTTTCAACCACGTTTGATGTTGTACACCATTCATCCTATAAGATAACAAAAGTAACCAAAGCAAGACAGACGCTACACCTCACAGATTTTTACATCACAAAGGAACACGAAATGGCCCTATAACTGAATTTCAGCAGTTTCTATCCAGCCGACTATAAACGAGAAAATGATTACCACGCTAGTTTCATACAGTACTAAAAATGCGCTCAGCTGATAAAACTGAAGAGAAATTATCGCTGTTCCATACGCACAAAGTTTCATCAACAAGTATGGGTAAAACAATGTATCGAAATTGGGAGGGTAACAGTCAGCAAGAGACAGGTTTTCAGTCACCACAACTTCAAGAGTGATGTTATTGATAAAATGATAACAAACTAAAAGTCAAACACCGAACAGATTAGGATATATTCTGCAGTAATCCTAGTTCCGAAATTTCAAAACCCCTGTTTACTAGTACAATGGAAAGATACCACGTATCCTTCATATGCTACCTCGAGTTGTGTGGATCAATTGACGTGTAATTGTCGGAGCGACTACATCGGAAGAACAGGATGAAGAGTTTATCTTAGACATGGAACATCTCTCAGAGCCTATGATTGAGGGGAGTAAGTACTTTCAACGTTGCAGTTACCAAGCGCTTAGCAGACACACGATAATGCGTAGATATTCCAGATACGATCAACAAAATCGAAAAACAGTTTAAAAAATACTCAACTGTGACAAATGTCAACATAGACAGTGAAATTTGTAAATCATCTGAAAATTGATCATACCATTTTAGGTATACCGGTTACATGCAAGTCAACTAGGCAGATTCACGTTATCAAAAATGATTCGCCCCAGTAAGAACAATTTCCTTCAGAACACCACTAATGAACTCAGCCCTAAACGAGCAAAACAGCCGTCCGCAGTTTACATTATTCCGATCTACCAGGCCTGCGAAATACAAAAGAACAACCCTAATGGTTCATCACTCATCAAGTTTCTTAGCAATAAGATCTTTCACCAATTCAAAAATCCATCAACATCAAGAAACCATTGTAAACAAATGCGTTACATCAGACAAATACGCTACATAGGAAATGGTGGTCACCACCTCCTTCATTCCCCCGTTCACTGAAAACCTAAACAGCTACAAACAATATTTTAATACAAAACATTTAATTCGATTTCAACAAAACACCAGCCCAAAAACTCGCAAACCTAACCAGTTCACCGATAACAAGCCGGTCGTAAGCCCGGATAAAGAGGGAAGGTTGGGCATAGGGCTAGCAACCCTACCTCGTAGAATCAATCCAATCGCTAAGGCAACTTCAAAGCACAAACGAAATATAAAAGACAAAAATAAACTTATTCCTCACTGGAATCGGGGAGACGAAATGACGCCAGTTGGTGAAAGCCTTCGGGAAGCCAATTGGCCGATATGTCTTCTCTTCTCTCGATGAAAGCGAAAGTAAGGATGGGAACATGGAATGTCCGAACAGTGTTTGAACCTAGCAAGGCTGCTCAGATTGCCAAAGAGATGAGGAGATATGGCATAGAAGTGCTAGGAATCTGCGAAAGCAGATGGAATGAAAGTGGACTCTCCCAACTGTCAACTGGACAGTCAATAATCTACTCCGATATTGTCACCGAGACGACAACCACGAGCACACTGAGTTTTGGAGTGGCTATCGTGATGTCCCCAAGAGCATCAAAGGCTCTCATGCAGTGGCAACCAATCTCCTCCTGCAGGATTATGACTGCAGGATTGAAATCAAAAAGAAAGAAAGTTACAATCATACAATGCTACGCTATGCATCTACAAATAATGCAGATCAAGAGAAGCAGGAGAAATCCTACAGACAACTGCAATCAGCACTGGACAAGACCTCAGTTGGCGACATCCAAATTCTAATGGGCGACATGAATGCCAAACTGGGAGTGGACAATACAGGAAGAGAACTAACCATGGGTCGAGAAGCACTCGGTGAAATGAACGAGAATGGAGAATTGTTTGCAGATTTCTGCGCATTCAACGATTTGGTAATTGGAGGCACTGTGTTCAAGCACAAGGATATCCACAAAGCGACATGGATTTCACGAGATGGACACACTAAAAATCAGATCGACTTCATCTCAATGTGAAGAAAGTGGAGACGCCGCCTACTGGACACAAGATCAAGGGAGGAGAGCAGATGTAGGTTCACACCATTCATTGTCTAGTGCAAGGAACCTTCAAAATCAAGTTGGAAGCCTTCAAGGAAGTTGGTGATAGACCACAGTTGAAGTTCAACACCCAGAACAGAAAGTGAACTGAAGGACAAAACTACAAAGGACATCTTCACGTCAGCCATCAGAACAAACAAAATGAGAGATATCGAGCAACATCCCTGAAGAAACCTATTTGGATGAACACTGGGACTCTTTGAAAGCTATGTGGAGAGAAATCTGCATAACCGTGTTAGGAAGGAAGAAGAAAGAAGATAAGGAATGGATCTCGACGGACACATGGAAGCTGATAGAGCAGGGAGAGGAGGATGATGAAGCAGAAGATAAACCAGTTCAATGATGAACGATGAGAAGAGGAACTGAGTACAACGTACAAAACACCACATTGGATAAAGAAGTGAAGAAGAGTTTGCAGAAAGACAAATGACACTTCTACGACACATTGGCAAGTGAAGTAGAACAGGCTGTTGGTAGGAGAGACCTGACAACACTATATCAATTGACCAGGTTACTCTCGATCTGGGAAGAGATTACCGCAGATGAAACCTATAAAAGTAAGTGATTGCGGGACAGCAAAGACGGGCTTCAGGTTAACGTAAGGAAGACAGAGGTGATGAAGATACCCGACCACCAACAACAACACCAAGAAGCACCAATCATCATCAACGGGAGAAACCTAAAGGAAGTAGTCTCTTTCACCTACCTAGGCAGCATAGTTTCAACTACAGGCGGCACAGGTGCAGATGAGGATGTCAAAGCCAGGATCGGAAAGAAAGCAAGACAGGCCTTCCTTCATTAATCTGAAACCAGTGTGGAGATCTACTGCACTCAGCACAAAGAACAAGATCCGGATTTTCAACACTAAATCAGTCAAGCCAGTGCTTCTGTGTGATGGTTCAGAGACTTGGTGCGTTGCGAAAAGCATTTCCAACAAACTACAGACAGTCATCAACAGCTGCCTACGCCCGATGCTGAAGATCAGATGAGAAGGGCAGTAAGAATAAGCAACAAGGAACTCTGGCTTCGTAACGAGCCAACCAACCAAGAACGTATTGCCCAACGAATATGCAGAAGAAGAAAGTGGAGATGGATTGGATTGGACATACACTGAGAAGACCGATTGGGGACATCACACGCCAGGCCAGTCCGTCGAGTGGAACCCAAAGGGGAAACGATGAGTTGGGCGTCCGAGGTGAGGGTGACATGGAGGAGATTATGTGAGGAAGAAATGAAAGCTTGTGGGCAGTCATGGAGCCAGGTTGAAAAGACTGCAGAGAACAGAGTGCAATGGAGATGTGCTACTGAAGCCCTATGTTCCACTAGGAAAAATTGCAAATCTTCCAGGGTACTTTCATCGGTCCTGCCAGCATATACCCATCTTCTTGCTTGTCACAGTTTCTTGCATGATCCAGTCCAGTCGACCACAATTAGGAAGATCATCGGTGATGGTAGGCGGAAACCTTGTCTTACTTTTATCTTCACTTCAAAAGCATCACCGAGCTTTCCATTGTGAATCAATTGGCATGTAGCATCATATATCATATAGTTGTTGAATGAGGTTGATAAAGGTTTGTGGCACTAAAGCCGTAGTGTTGAAGCAGCTGCCAAATTACTTCTCAGTCGACGCTGTCGAAGGCCTTTTCAAAGTCGATGAAGCTGAGGTAGAGATTGAGTTGACTGCCATCCTATACTCGATTTTATGATGATGCGTAGCGTAGCGTTGAAATTTCGTCCGAGCATGATTTGTACTTCCTGAAGTCAGCCAGCCTGTTCCAGTCGTAATTTTGAATACAGAGAATTTTTCAGTCTCTCCAGGATGATGCGGCTTAATATTTTGCTTGGGGTGGACAGAAGCATGATTCCGCGCCAGTTCTTACAAAGACTTAGATCGCCCTTCTTAGGAAGTTTGACAAGGTAGCTCTTCTTCCGATCGACAGGCGCCTTTCCCTCCTTCCAAACCTTCTGCAATAGTGGTGTGAGCATGTCCGCTGATGTCTCTGCATCTGTTTTCAGTGCTTCTAGAGGAATTCCATCTGGTCCTACTCCTTCCCCTCATTTCAGCAACTCTATGACGTTCAGGACTTCACTACTACTTTTGTCGGAGGGTTTGTGTTCACTGATAGTTCTGTGGCTGGGCTGCAGGTGGTGGTCGATTCAACAGTTTTTTGAAGTGGTCAGCCCATTGTTCCTTTTCTTTGGTAATTAAATTTCCTTCTTCATCTTTTATTGGTTTCATCTGCGGTAATCTCTTCCCTGATAGCAACCTGGTTATTTGATATAGTGTTGTCAGGTCTCTCCTACCAACAGCCTGTTCTACTTCACTTGCCAATGTGTCGTAGAAGTGTCATTTGTCTTTCTGCAAACTCTTCTTCACTTCTTTATCCAATGTGGTGTTTTGTACGTTGTACTCAGTTCCTCTTCTCATCGTTCATCATTGAACTGGTTTATCTTCTGCTTCATCATCCTCCTCTCCCTGCTCTATCAGCTTCCATGTGTCCGTCGAGATCCATTCCTTATCTTCTTTCTTCTTCCTTCCTAACACGGTTATGCAGATTTCTCTCCACATAGCTTTCAAAGAGTCCCAGTGTTCATCCAAATAGGTTTCTTCAGGGATGTTGCTCGATATCTCTCATTTTGTTTGTTCTGATGGCTGACGTGAAGATGTCCTTTGTAGTTTTGTCCTTCAGTTCACTTTCTGTTCTGGGTGTTGAACTTCAACTGTGGTCTATCACCAACTTCCTTGAAGGCTTCCAACTTGATTTTGAAGGTTCCTTGCACTAGACAATGAATGGTGTGAACCTACATCTGCTCTCCTCCCTTGATCTTGTGTCCAGTAGGCGGCGTCTCCACTTTCTTCACATTGAGATGAAGTCGATCTGATTTTTAGTGTGTCCATCTCGTGAAATCCATGTCGCTTTGTGGATATCCTTGTGCTTGAACACAGTGCCTCCAATTACCAAATCGTTGAATGCGCAGAAATCTGCAAACAATTCTCCATTCTCGTTCATTTCACCGAGTGCTTCTCGACCCATGGTTAGTTCTCTTCCTGTATTGTCCACTCCCAGTTTGGCATTCATGTCGCCCATTAGAATTTGGATGTCGCCAACTGAGGTCTTGTCCAGTGCTGATTGCAGTTGTCTGTAGGATTTCTCCTGCTTCTCTTGATCTGCATTATTTGTAGATGCATAGCGTAGCATTGTATGATTGTAACTTTCTTTCTTTTTGATTTCAATCCTGCAGTCATAATCCTGCAGGAGGAGATTGGTTGCCACTGCATGAGAGCCTTTGATGCTCTTGGGGACATCACGATAGCCACTCCAAAACTCAGTGTGCTCGTGGTTGTCGTCTCGGTGACAATATCGGAGTAGATTATTGACTGTCCAGTTGACAGTTGGGAGAGTCCACTTTCATTCCATCTGCTTTCGCAGATTCCTAGCACTTCTATGCCATATCTCCTCATCTCTTTGGCAATCTGAGCAGCCTAGCTAGGTTCAAACACTGTTCGGACATTCCATGTTCCCATCCTTACTTTCGCTTTCATCGAGAGAAGAGAAGACATATCGGCCAATTGGCTTCCCGAAGGCTTTCACCAACTGGCGTCATTTCGTCTCCCCGATTCCAGTGAGGAATAAGTTTATTTTTGTCTTTTATATTTCGTTTGTGCTTTGAAGTTGCCTTAGCGATTGGATTGATTCTACGAGGTAGGGTTGCTAGCCCTATGCCCAACCTTCCCTCTTTACCCGGGCTTACGACCGGCTAGTAACTGGTCAACTAGTTACTTCGGCGAGGTTGTTATGTGTATAGGTGGTAGAAAATATATGATTGAGGTATTAGACAGTAATAAAAGTACATGAAGCAAACCTGTGGTAAGTATTCATTCCATGACCAGTTGGTCAGTTTACCAGTACGAATTTGGTCGGATAAATTAACAGGATCAACGGGGATATTTTGAGTTTCTTCTGCACTACTTTGGGCAACATCCGTTGTCTGTTGTTGTCCATCCTGAGTATGGTATTGTACGAGATCAGTCAGTGTAGACACTAGGAGATCTCTAGCATTATGACCTGCACAATCGAATGATATTTTACACGATGGTATAAAATCCACATTGGTTGAGTTTGAATCTGATATTCAGAGAAATGCAAGGAAAAAAAGGGAATAAATTGCTAAGCAGAAAGCTGTCAAACTACCATCAATGATAGGTAAATGTAACTCTGTATGTGATGTTTGATACTTGTAATCTGCCGTTGCCATACTGCACCGAATTGCTCAACGTCCGTTCAAGGATGAACTCTTATATTCAGGCCCAGATGCTACTGAATAATCAGCTTGTTTGCGGATAGCAGGGAAATCCAGGACACGGGTTTTCGCTGATTTAAGACTTATCAACTGGATGCATCTGCACCCAAGTGAGTGATGCTGTTTCCATTATGAATCGAACACAGTACGCATTGCTTCACATGTTATCCACCAGGTCAATGGGGCACGAGAACCACCACTTGTCCAACGCATATCCGTTATTATTGTTGTTTTGATGCATGTATTTGCTTTGTATGCTTGATTTATGAAACCAGGGTGAAGCAATATTTACTCGATAAAGAGCATTAGACAAAATTTACTGTTCAATTTATATAAAAATGATCGTAACATCGTTTATATTCTTACAGTTCATTAGTTGGAGCAAATACAATATGTTCAACTTTCATGATCTACAGCTTGGTATTTCAAGAAATTCTTGTCCTCTAATATCCTAACTGATACAGTCAGCTACTGTCATGAGTTGAATAGTATTTAAAGTGACCGAGTGGAAGTGGCTGACAGAATAATTCGAGGTACGTGAACGCCACTAACGCAATGAGACACTCCGAATGGAGACGAACAGGGACTGTTCTCCCTTAGAACCGTATATTTCACTGAGCCGCGAAAAAAGACATAAAGAGTGCCTGTGACTGTAACGAAGACAACTTTATTTGACGAGAAAATTCATCTAGATGCAGTTTAAACTCAGAATATGAAGACACTAGGTCAGAAGTTGGATACTTATTCTGATTAATTAGCAGTACGTTGAAATTGTTCGGAAAGGTCTACCTGCCCACACAGTAACATGTTACTTAGGTTGACATACAAATAATCTAACCTAGCGACAGATGGCCTACAAAGCTGATTTCAATTTAGGCCGCTTCCTATCAGCATTGAATATAGAATTTTCGCTTATCCGGTAGATAGGATAGGATTCTTCAGCATAACAAAAAACTCCTAACTAAAAACCATTTTGATCGGCGTAATGTCCACAGCAAAAGTGATCATGCTGTTTACCCCTTTCCATTAGAGGACGTCAAATAAGTTCAAGCAATTCATCACCTTCTTTTCATCTACATAACATGAAGATTAGTCAGTACTCAGCTCATATTCCATAAAATAACGTGTCATAACTATCTGGAAAAAAAACTCTTTATTCAGGTCAATTTATTTCAAGAAACACATCACTTCATTGGCTTGAAATAACGAATTCATAATACACAGAAAAGTAGAAGTTAGCACGGAATGGATGGTGACGCCGAAGCAAACAATAATACACCTGTCTCTTAACGGCGGCTACAGAAACTTCAGTTAGTCATTGAATGGGTTCAGGCAAATCTGGTCACTTCACCACTGACTGACAAACTCAACGTAGAATCTCGCAAATATGTGCATCGGCTCAACTTGCCACACTTCACAGTAGTGCACAAAGAACAGGTAGACAGAAAAAAACTGATATTAAAAATTAACGAAGTTGTGAGTGAGAATAAACAACCTGAAGATAAAGGTTGATGCACATATTCAAGCGTCAGAAGACACCGGAGACAGAATACATCCGCGCCCTTGTGATGGATTTTCAACCATTTCACCAAGTGTCAGTCCTCAGTCACTGATTCCTTTAGTCTCGGGGATCCCAACCAGGCAGTCTACATCTCCCCACAAGACTCAGACTAACAATCAGGTAATTCGTCAACCAGGGCCACAGTCTCGGTTTAGTCACCCTCAACCCTCTTCCAGTTTAATCCAACTTCTCCCACAATGGCACTTCGAGGTAGTCGGTGGCTCAGCATACACACTACATGTCCAAGCCATCTCAGTTGACTAAGGTTCACAACCTCATCAATCGACCTGCCTGTCTTACTCAATGTCCTTCGTCTGATCCAAACACTGCTCACATGGTGTGAGCAGTGCTACAAAGCCACTTATGATCAAAACTCTGTAATCACTTCCTGTCTTCTACTCTTAGCAGCCATGTCTCACAACCGTGCAATAGAACAGAATGGACTACAGCTCAGTATACTCATCCTTTGATAGATAGTCGGATATCTCGCCAGTAGGTACCATGAATGAGGCAAGTTGGTAAATGCCAAACGGGCCTTCTGTATTCGATCTGAGATTTTGTTAGTAACCAGCCCGTTCGATCTGATGCAACTGCCCAAGTAAGTGGAGTGGTTGACACACTCCTCCACTTTACTCCCTACCCTTAAACTGGGAGTGGTTGCAGACCAGTCCTGGAGCATCATCTTACATTTGACAGGTACGAGACGTATGCCAAAAATACTGAGATTTTTGTTCAACACGTTTGGGAAACCCTGCATTTTGCTAGCGTCTTCATCAGGTAAAACGAAATCTTCTGCATACCAGATGACTTCCAGAGAGTAGGTCAATCTCTGTGATGTCAGACGTTGTTATGGTTATTTCCATTAGTACGTCTATGACGAAGTTAAAAGAGAAACGGAGTTGGTGGATATCTCTCTAGCGAACACCGTTAGTTGTCATCAATTCTGATGACAGCTCTTCATAAGCCGTTACATGACTACATGATTTCGTGTAAATAGTTTTGATTAGCGTTATATACTTGCTCGGTACTCCTTTCACAGTTAGATAATGTCACAGCATCTCATGGTCGAAAGAGTCAAATGCCACCTTTAGGTCAAGAAATATGGCAAGTGTCGGCAATTAGCCGGTACATATGCCTGTGTTCCAGAACTTGTCGAAATGGGAAAATCTGATCGATGACTCTCATCCAGGTCTGAAACCTGCATGGTTGTCTCGAGTTTTCTGTTGTTGAGCTCCAGGTAGGCATCGCATAACTATGAACTCTAGGATCTTGGATATAATTTTAGTCAAACTAATTCCCCTATGGTTGCTGCAGGAAGATTTCTCTTACTTTTATAGACTGGAATAATCAGTGGGGTATAACAACCAGACGCGATCACCTCTGATTTCTTTATACAGCCTAGTACCTTCATCACTCTAATGAGCGATTTCCTGCCTCAATCTTCGAAAAATTCAAATTGCAAACTTTTAGGTTTTGCTGCTTTGCATCGTTTCAGGTTCGACACAATTTCCTCACTTTTAAGGAAGGTTGAGAACTCTTGGTGATATGATTGAAAATCCATCACAAGGGCGCGGATGTATTCTGTCTCCGGTGTCTTCTGACGCTTGAATATGTGCATCAACCTTTATCTTCAGGTTGTTTATTCTCACTCACAACTTCGTTAATTTTTAATATCAGTTTTTTTCTGTCTACCTGTTCTTTGTGCACTACTGTGAAGTGTGGCAAGTTGAGCCGATGCACATATGTGCGAGGTTCTAAGTAGATTTTGTCAGTCAGTCGGGTTCTGAAATCGATGCGAATTAGGTTAAAAATCATGAATGATAATGAGGTCAACAGATTTAGATCGGCAACCGTTGTGAGCAAGGATTTTTAGCTGAATGAGTAGGTACTTAAAAAACAGGTGACTACATATCTATATGTAGTTGGGTTGGACAACAGGAAGATACAAACTGTAAACACCCATACATACTTATTCACACTAAAGGTTCAGGAAAAACTCTCATTCTCTAAACAAGTGAGGATTAGATCAGAAAACCTTCATGACGAAACATTGTAGTGCAAAACATCGATAGAGTTAGTAATAACTGCTATACACGGAACACTGTTACACATACCAAGGTTCGAGCAGCCAAGTGAGTATCTTGGTTTCGCTGCGTCATCAACCAACAAAATGATCAACAACTAAAAGGCAGAGAAACGGTCAACAGGAAAACCGATGTAGTCGACACAGGAATCAAGGAAAATAACACTTTTATAGGGTTAGCTACTGAATTACTCAAGGAGAAATACTGAAAGCTTACTTCATACTGAATTTAGTTCTGATTATGTTGTCTAGAAAGACAATGAAAACTTCATTACTAAACTACCCTACTTAAGGAACGTGGCACGATCAAAATAGCTATTTATTTCTGGTTCAGCACTTATCAGTAATCCACATATACGACACTATGACAGCGCGAACTGCTCAAGAGCCTACTACCACCTAACATCGATCCTCGATAATAAAAAAGCTACTTTCAAATCAATCAATCCCCCTACAAAACCTCTAAATGGAATAAATGGAGTAAATTTTATAGATTATGCATCATTAAACCTTAGTTTGTTTACATTACTGACATGTTTAATTTTCAAATCTTACCTTTAACTAGCAAATCAAAGCTGGTTTCACTTTCAGTTGAACTATTCACAGCAAGGAGATTCAGTGGAATCTTGGTCTGTGCAAACAAAGATAAAATAGTAAGCATAAATTTTAGGTTATTGTTTATTGCTAATGATGATAATAGAAATCATGGAAACTATGAACATACTGCAAAGAAAAATCAGTTGTGTTTTATAACTTGAGGTATTTCGAATGTCATTCAATTCAAAGAGATACAAAGTTAACATGGTTACATCATTTAGAAATCCATTACGTCAATTCGAATTTTTTCACTTATATTTTTACGTTACTTATAAACGGTCTTGATATTGATTCACAAAACACCGTAACGCAGGTTCACTTGTGAACAGAATACTTCAGAATCATGAGCATCAGGATATTTCTTGATACAGGCTCATTCGGGACATGATAATTGTCAGCTCGTTAGGAAAGAATGTCGATTTGACGATTGTAACAGTGATCATATTCTCTTTCACAGGGGCTTAATAGTCAGAGAAAGTAATATCCTTCTTTGAGATGAATGAGGATTTTTTAGTTTAAAGGTAGTATTCATCATGGACTGACAACAGTTGGGGAACCATTGAATATTTGGGAGCACTGGACAGCTGTTTCGTCCTAGTATGGGACTCCTCGGCGGTACGCACCCACGACCCAGCTAGGGATCGAACGCGCTAATCATTCAATCACTGGGTCGGTTTTCAGTGGTTCACAATTTCCAACTTCTTTCAGTTCACAACATAGCGTGACTGTCACCCAAGGTCTTCAGTTGGCATACGTTTCACTACCGACTGGTTGGCCCCACATGCTACGGTTTCTCATTAGAGCTTCGTGATATCCATCTGGAAGCAAGTTACTAATGAGCACTATACAGTAATGTATTTCTGAGATGAATTGACAGAAGTTGGAAATTGTGGACCACTGGAAACCGACCCAGTGACTAAATGATTAACGCGTTCGCCCTGAAACCTGAGTTCGATCCCTAGCCGGGTAGTGTACTGTTGAAGAGTCCCATATTAGGACGAAATAGCTATCCAGCACTCCCAGATTTTCAATGGTCCCCCAAATGATGTCAGTCCACGTTGAATACTACCTCCAAATCAATATACAAAATCAACTTACAATTCCGTACACAAGTGCATCCGTCCATGTTCCCACACTTTACATTAGTACATAAAGAACAGGTGGCTAGAAAAAAACTGATATCACAGTAGACAGTTGTGTGAGAGAACAAACAATTTGAAAACAACGGTTAGTGCGAATATTCAAGGAGTGAATAGATCTGGGTCACTGTGACCTATTTTCAGCTATATCACCAAGATCCCTCAGCCACTCATTCCTAACATCTCAGGAATCACAGCTAAAAACCCTACAGCTCTCAGCACGAATTAGATCAACAGTCACAGACTTCAGCGACTGGTGCGACGTCTTGTCACGGTCACCCTGAACCCTCCGACCTAATGCAACTTCCCTAGCATGGCACATTAAGATAGGCGGCGGCTCGGTATGGAGATATAGTAATTTGTAAGCGATTTGCACAGTTTTATAGTATACTGACCCATCCAAGTCAGTTGATAACACTGAAGTATCATCAATAGTTCATATATGTGAGCATACCATTGAGAAGTTCAATTTAGAAAAGGTAAAACAGATGTACCATATATGGATCACAATGATTTGAATGATAATCCGCAAATCAGTGACTGTGAAGGTCGTTCAGTTTTGCGACCACACCTACGATATCTGAAATTTAGCGAGATTTTGGACAAGACTGTTTGGATACTACTAGCAGAAAACATTTTAGAAGTCCACTGGGTATTGGAACGTAGAGGCAACGTTACACCTCACTCGGTCGCTGTTTGGGTAGTATTTTCAGTAGCATGTGAGTAAAATTGTCAGGTAGCGTCAGTAAACTGCTTGACTACCTGCACATCAATTCAATCAGACCCTTCAGGAACGTTTAAATTGCAATTAACCCACTAGAAGCTTGATTTTGACGGAAATATTTTGGTGGAAAGCAGTGAAGTCGGCAGCTTTATCTATGATCTTGGAAACCAGAGGTTTGATTTTGGTGCTGCATCTCAATCTAGAACTGAAGGCTCAGAGCTGAAAAAGACTGCAAACTGAGGTATTAGTGCTAAGTGTCCGTGGTCTGGTAATGCAGATTTTCACGTAACAGTGCAACCTTCGACATTACAGTAAAACACGTCCGTTTAAGATGTCCACATAAGAGAAAGTTTACCAATGAGTTTCGTAGGTGAGTCCTCAGCAGGAGACAGCCAGCTGCCTCTCAGAGGGCGATCGTAACTGCGGTTCATCATCATCATTATCAACATAGGACCAGGCATTACTGCCTTACGGTCCGAGTTGCCACACCTCATATCAGCACACCAAGTAAAAAGTCAGTGAGGTGAAGGATGAAGATAAGTGAATGCAGTCAAAAGAAATATAAAGTACGAGAAGAAAGGAAAGAGGAGTCACAAAATAGTGAGATTCGGTATAGCGTTGTTAAGATGAGGATAATGTGTGTATACATCTGCGCCACTGACTTCGGTTCTGAGACATATCACCTAGGGTCTCCAACCACTGGTTCCTCTTGTCCCACCGACCCCAACCACCTAGTCTGCATCGTCCTACATGGCTTAAACCAACAGTCAGAGACTTCATACATTGGTGCCATGTTTTAGTCTGGCCACCTCGGGCCTTTTTCCAGCCTGAACCCACCTCAGCCAACATTGTGTGACGAGGCAATCGGTGACTAGGCATACGTAGTACGTGTCCCAACCATCTCAGTCGATGAAGGTTCACAACCTCGTCGACTGACTTACCTCTTCTCCCCAAAACTCTACACCTAACTTCTGCATTACTCATGTGGTGACACCACGGAATACGTCCTATACTACGAAGGCAACGGTGGTCAAACACCTGAAGCCTTTTTGTATCCTCTACTTTCAATGGCCATGTTTCACAACCATACAGTAGAACAGACCGGACTGCTGTGCAGTACACGCGACCCTTAATAGACAAACGAATATCACGGCGGCGCCATAGGTGGCGCAAATTGGCAAAAGCCAATCGAGCCTTTTGTATCCGTGCAGAAATCTCATCGCCAACTGACCCACCAGAGTTGATCCTACTTCCCAGGTAAGTGAAGTGGTCAACACACTCAACCACTTCACTCTCTATTGTTAACCGCGGTACCGCTGAAGACCAGTCCTGGAGCAAAAATTTGCATTTGGGTGGTGAAAATCGCATCCCAAACATTCTCAAATTCCCACTCAAAGTGTTCAGAAGACTCTGCATCTTGTCAGCGTCTTCACCTAACAGGACTATGTCATCTGCATATTCTAGATCTAAGGAAAATTCACCTGTGATCGGGTCAACGGTAACTGCGGTTAGTGTGTGAATACAAGCGGGACAAGTTACGGAACGATATTTTCCTTTATCAGAAAAAGCCACATCACGTACAGATGTTGATTCGTGAAAAAGAAACGCTGAGTTAGATGTAAGCTGAATCAGGCAAATTGCTTAGTCCTTCAGAAAAGTGCTGCAAATTGCCACTACGTCATATAACCTTGTACTCAATGTTGTACTTGCCCTAAGTCAGCATAAATATCTATTTCTCAAGAAATGTCAACTTGCCTTCAGTGGGGACTTAGGAGGTGTGTTCAGAGAAGATGAGATTTTTTAAAGGTACAATTCGAACCTCAGCAAGCACTGTGAGATATGACATACAATATTGTGCCTGTCACGTCCGAATAGTCAACCTCCACGGTTGTGACAACAGTTAATTGTACCATTTCCATCGACTGTTGACGTTCGGATGCAAGGTAGGTTTTGAAGGTTAGGGCAATTGTCTTGAGGAACGGTGTTGAAAATGTTATAATCTTCTATCTTCATTCCCAAAGTTGTGTTTGTAATCCGACTCCCCTACCTACATATCTTTTCTGTTCGATTTGTTATGAGTCTTATTGACTTATGCCTGTCTATCCCTTTGCACATGCAACCTTCATTCTGATAGGCTATCTTTATCTTTAGGACTGATTTTGTGTATGGCCTGATCTTAGTCATTTGGATTGCCTGCTTGTTGGAGAAGAGCTGCTAAATCTTATCGTATTGTGGATTATTTAATTGGATCTTGTCGTCTTTTCTTGTAAGTGGTTCGGCGAATTTCCCTATGGAAGTGTCACAGATAAAGGTGTTGGCTAATATTATTCTGGTTATAATTCTTGTTTACACTACAGCCTTGTCAACAAACGTCAGTAATTGTGTTTATGACTTTTGAGATTCATACGTCACGTTGGCTGGTTCTCAGCAATCGCCGTTTTAGAACTTAACACCATGCATGTATCACAGTGATTTGAATGACAGAATTCATACATCAATGGCTGTAGTAGTTATCCAGTTAAGTTGTTTCGTAGGAAACTGCTGATGTGTTTTAGTCGGTTGGAAGCAATCGGCAGGAAACCCTGCTCGATCTAGATTTCGAGCTTCTTAGCACTAGTCAGCAAGGCGTATCTGCAATAGTGGGGGAACCGATGTCTTGCCTGAGACTCAAACCCGCATTCTCCAGAGTTGTAGTCAGCAATGTTACCACTGAGTTATTCGGACCCCGACTGACTGGATCAGATACAAAGACTGGTTACCGGAGAGCAACCAATTCTATGTTGTCTAGTCCTGAGAGCTGACTGAATTCGTAGTGCACTTTAGTCGAACCTAGGTCCAGGGCTTCCTGCCGATTGCTTCCAACCAAATAATACCCATCAAAGTGCACCCGGACGATCAGCCTCCTAGCTTGATCGCCACATTCCAAAATGATCGACAGCATTGAACAGTACACAGGAATAGACAACGTGAAGCTTGTTACTCTCTAGTGACTAATCAATATATTATACACAGGCTAGAATCTTACAGTGAACATAGTCATCATAGACCATGCTGAAATACTAGTACATTAACATATTGCATGTTATCTGATAATAAGCCATCGTTGCCAGAAAATCCCCTGGTCGACTTAGAATACAGAGACAACATTGTTCTGTTCAACTAACATGCAAA